GACCTGCAGCGCGATGTCTACGGTTTTGCTTGCATCGCAGTCGGTGATCAACGTGTAGATGATATCTATGGCTCGACAGAACTTGACGATGTTGTAAGGCAGCTGGGTGATAACGAAAGCAGCCACTACTGCCAGCAGGACCAGGAAAGGCCGAGACTTCTTAGCGTTTGCGGATCTGAAGATCGCCCGAGCAGTGGCTGAATAGCAGATCAGCATTACTAGGAAAGGCAGCAAAAATCTCCAGGATCTGAATGCTCGCTTTTAAGAGGGTTTCCATGTTCATTGGAAATACAGGAAGGCATTCGTTCCTGTCATTGTGTTTCTTGACTTGATTGAATATCAGCTCGGGGATGCTGAGGAAGATGGCAGACAGCCAGACACAGACGCAGGTAACGCTGCAGTGCTTACCCATTCTCCTCTGACCCTGGGATTCACAAGTGGCCCTGTATCGATCCACACTGATACAGGCCAGGAACAGCATGCCAGAGCTGAAGTTCATGGTGTACAGAGAAGAAGCGAGCTTGCACATTGGGTTTCCAAGTTCCCATCCCTGCACTGCGTTTGCAGCCCAAAAAGGGAGCGTGAAGAGCAGGAGCAGGTCAGCCATGGCGAGATGCATGATGTACACGTCCGTCTTGGTCTTCAGTTTCTTGCAGTAGGCATAAATTGCCACCACTAATGAATTCCCAGCGACTCCGGCAGTGAAAGCCAATGCATAGAACACGGGGAGGAATGATTTACTGAAATTTCTCACATCGCTTTTTTCACAGAGAAGCTCATATGTATTGTAATCTATAGCAGAGTTGAGGTGATACTCCTCGTACTCAATCCAGTAATCAGTTGAGTTATTAATCTCCCAGCCCATGGCAAAGCTGCAAGATACAAAACAAAAAGGAGGGGAGAAGGGAGCACCAAAGAATTATTTCTACTGGTTTTAAGGTTTAAAATTTCTGTTGAAACGTAAACCCTTTGCTCAGGGTTGCTTACGCCCTGTTTAAAGTTTAAGGAAGTCGGATATTAGGAATAAGTTCGTAAATAATGGGAGTAGAGTTAGATGGTCTCAAAGGAGAGCTGGCAGAAGAGACAGCCCCAAGTTCTCCCGTGAGGCGGGGTAACCAGCTGCGTCGCGTGGGCAGTGCACAGTAACGGGTTCAGTCGAAACGCGTTGGTTAGCCATTGGAGACTGCAAGGGGCGTGGAGTGCACCTCACAAGGGGGAGGGAGCCGGCACTGCTGGAACTGCTCTCACTCGGTCAGGTTTGACAATATTCTGCGCCTGCTGCCGTAAATTCTGGCAAATCTGGGGTATGAGTATAAAATCGGGAGAATGAGCTTGCGTGTTTCTCGGGCACAGTATACCCGCCCACTGCGTAAGCACAGCGGCGCTGTCAGTTGTGGAACAGGCTCAGTTCCGTTTCCATCCCACACGGCGAGCCATGCCCACGTGGAATTCCTCACAGAATCAGACTGCTGTGGGTACGCTGCATCTGACAGCTGGCGACTTCTCAGGGTGTTATGACTGAAAGGAATCTTATCACATACAGAACTGCCCACAAGTGCCCCAACAGCTCAGCAGCTCTGCGGTTTGTTCGGGTACTATCTCATGGCAGATTTACTCCGTAAACATTAAGACTGCATTCTCACTGCCAGTTCAAATTCCAGCCTTTCCTATCTTCAGACCATGGCTTAAGCAAGTCATGTCCTGCGGTGTTTTCTTCTTTTCCTGTAATTGTGTCTGTTGACTAATTTGCTGAAATTCTTTCTATTGCAAACAGCAGTCCTGTAGCGCCCTGTTTTCTTGAAATAAATGGGATTGAGGTTTCTTAGTAGCAGTAGCAAAAAGTAGCTGAGAAAGAAAATCACATCCCATTTTCTCATCATCTGCAGTGTTTCAGAATCTGAGGCCAGTGTTACTGGAAGCAGACTCTT